TATTTTTTCTGTGATGCTTTGCATATTTGTTTTTGTAAGACCATCCACTTTAAGATTTCTCTTTGTTCATCTGACCTGCAAATCAAAAGTCCATGTAGGAAGTACCTCAGAATTTGTGCAGTTTTATCTGCTCTGATAACAAACAACTTTGTTCTAAAAAATAGAAGTAACTGATAATTGGCATCCTTTGAAAACCAAAAGGTTTAAACCAGGGCTTAATGGAGGCTATTTTAGTAATAAAATGAATCATCTTGAAGTAACCTAATCCTCCACATGTGACAAAACATGATGTACTGGTCAGTAAATGTCCTTACAATGTTTAGTTTTACAGGAATTGGCTAGAAAATGGGAGGATCAGGTTCCTGCTGTCACCTGTGTGATTGAACATTGTACCAAAGATCAACCTGCAAGTGGGCAGAGGGTCAGATTGCCACATATATCATTAATTTGTCCAAATTCTGTATAACTATTAACTTGAGGGCATCGAACCTGGAGAGCTAGGCTAGTTGGAGAAGAGAAGAGAGGGCAAGACCAAAATGAGATGAAAGACAAACCAGGCCTAAAGCCTTGAGAAAGCAGAACCCAGCAGCATTGACAGCAGTGGACTTAATGCCTTGAAGTTTTTCCCATGGGAAACTAAGTGGCCTAATTTGGTATTCTTGGTCCAGAGATGCAGAGGTTGGCCTGATGTAACATAAATCTACATACTGTACTTGAATAACATTTTATTTTAGGAATAATTTTGTATTGGCTGACCTGCAGCATGCAGAATATTTTTATGTTCTTTTAATTATTTTATAGCAAGGTTTCAAAATCTTAATATATAAGGATAGTAAAAACACTTGTATCTTCATTATGAGGATCTTGGGACCTTATCCCACTGCCAGTTAAGTCACAAGAATTTTGTTTCTGACTTCAGTGGATAAGATCACAGGTTTTGTGGGAGCAGAGAGAGTTAGGCTCTGAAATGGGACGTGAATAATGCTCTAATAACTCCACTGGAGTTAAGCAACAGACTGGCTTTGGTTAAAGTACTGGAGGTGGCAAGTTTTCCCTTTGCAGGGGGTGTGCGTGTGTGTGTCTGGGCGAAAACTTGAAAGCCCACTCAAATAACTAAGTTAACAGGAACGAGACTAAACTTATACCTCGTAGCCAGCATATGATCCTTCATTTTGGATTCATTTTACAAATAAAGGTATTGGCATAAAATTCAATATTCCTTTGTTTAAAGAAGGAAGTTTCGATGAGTGTTACCTTATTTCTGCAGGGCTCTTAGTCTTTACATAAAAATCATCTATATTACTCAGCATTTTTCAGCAATGCATATTTAATATAGTCCTGATGCCTAAGAAAGGATTTCTATGAGTGGGAAGAAAAGAAACATTTATTCTAAAGAAGCAAGATATTTACTCTTCAAAGCTGAGTCACTGAATTTATGGTACAAGAAATTGTCTCAAAGACACTTATGTCTTCATTTTATTTTTTATGCTCTACCACAAATAATTTTGAGTGACAAGATAACTGTTTATAATGCCATCGAGCAATTATGAATGTGCACAAGGATATTCTATAGCTCTATTGCTATCTGGAAAGAATAGCTGGTAGCTACTGGAATAAAAACAAATCCTTCACATGATTCTCTTTGATACCAGTTTTGCTGCATCATTGGGTGTTTAACACTAAAGACAGCATGGTTCAGTCTTACAAAAAGAGACTGTGGGTCATTCTTCGTGCTGACCATTTCATGATTCTCAGTACATCATAGTGTCAGTGCTGTAATTCCTCTCCATAGCTGTATACAGAGCTCTGTCTGAGAGATTTCCTTGCAAAGCCTTTTGATTCTTGCTTGAAAAACGCTCTCTAAGTGATAGTATTATTTATTTTCCTTTATTGTGAAATATTTATTCAAGCAATATTGCTGCTTTCAGCACCGCATCAGTTCCCAGTATATATCTGCCACCTGATGCAATAATCCTTTGTCTGGAATATCAAAATGGGTAGCTGCAGAATACATTGAAATGTCAGAGTGGAAAAATTATAATTTTGTCTGGGAAATCAGTAGGAGAGCTGAAAACACTTTTAACATGAAGGAAACTCCTCTAGATATAAACAGATTTGTTAAGACATGATTTTGAGGTGTTGCAGAAATAATATTTACCAACTTGTTAAATATTTTGTGCTGCTCTGCTAACACCATTCTGCAGAGTCATAGCATTACTGAGTGAAACAGAGAGAAAAAAATGCAGGTATGCAGGTATGATTTGGGTTAATGGTGCAAATATAATTTGTGAAATATACAGGCTAAGGAAGAAGCCTGTCCTTCCAGTATAGTGAAGGTAAGCATCTAGTCTGGACTCGATAGCAGAAAAGGTTTTATAGTTTGCAGTCCTGTACTGATGAGCGAGTGGGTTGTGATTAAAGCAGCCCAGGGCACCTATGGAGAGTTTTGTAAGTCATCAGTACCTTCTGAATTCTATGGTTTGTCTTTCACTGACATTGATTTCATACCATTGTGTGCATTTTGTAAGTGTTCTTAATAGCATTTAAATTAATTTTGTGACTTCAAGACACAAAGCAAAAGATTTCTGGAATGAAGAACACAGCACACAGCAAGCTTCTTAAGTCTTTCTCCATGGCTCTACCCTTTCCCCCAGTGAAGAGTGGCTGCATTATGCTTGTCAGGAAAAGGCCTTTCCCCCACCTGTTTCAGTAAGCAATGCTTTAGTCATGCCTATTGTCATTAACTAACTGCACTGATACACAGAGATAAAAAGTACAAGGTTCTGGAGTGTGTTGAATAAATTACAAAGAAGAGATCAGAGTCAAGGAACAAACCCAGCCCTATTCCTAGTCAGCAAAGCAAAGGGAAGGTACCTACTATTTAAATGCATTTGGATACTATATTGGATACTATGCATACCTTTTTTCCTCCTTTCTTAGACTAAAGGCTGTCAGTTGAGAGTTTTGCCCCTGAAAGGATTTCTAGACAGAGAACAGGAGAGCCAGCAGTCTCTACTGCAATGCCAAGATGCTGATTTTCTCACTCTTTTAAGTGACACAGTGGCAACTCTCAGTTCTGTGGGGCACCAAGTACTCACAGCGCTGAAGTGAGTGTGTTGGAGCTTACAGGCACTCAGTCTGTGTCAAGTCAGAGCCCACAACAGGAGATTCAGCCCTTCAGCCCACCCAGCACCTCTGCCAGTGCACAGTGAGCTCTTAGCCTGTCACTTCACTGATGCCTTGGACACAATTTATATGAAAGGTAAAATCATATTGTGACAAGCAATAAATCCCCCACTGAAGTGTCTTAAGCAATGACTCATTAAACTTCCCAGGAAAGACCAGGAGTTTTGAAATAACTTCTCAAAGGGAAAACTGACACT